CAGTGGGCGCCTCTCACTGAGCAGGACTATGCCCCCTGTGAGGCCCCAGCATGCCTGGTGACCCAAACCCCTTTGGAACCCACTGCTTGGTGGGCCACTGAGGATGTGGGTGACATTCAGAGATGCCACCAGGGTTTCCCACATGTTTCCCACTTGATTTGCTTTCATGAATGCGACTGGGAAAGGTACGGACACCCCGACCTCAGGTACAGTCTGCCTGAGAAGTCTTTGGTCCTCATTTTTTTTAAATGCCAGGAGGAAAGTGGGAAGTTCTGTCTGGTGTGGACAGTCTGCCCTCAGGTCCATGTCTGGGGTCCTGGTGACAATGGATGTGGGTTTGCAGAGAGGGCTGGCACAGCAGTGCCCACAACCTCAGGTTTCGGAAAGGCAGGTGAGTCCTGTGGCCGGTGATATTCAGGACACAGGAGCCATCACAAAGGAGGACTTTCTTTCTGCTTTTTCCCTTAACTTTGACAGTTGGTGGGTATCTTGGAGAAGATTTAGAGGACTTGACTTTCCTGCATCCATCGTGGAAACCCAGTTATCAGGAAAAAGGGCTGAGCTTCCCCCTCATACCCAGGAGTATCGGTAATGATAGCAGGTTCTGTAGGCCCAGCTCCCCACATCTGCAGCCGCTCAAAGTGTTTTCTAACTGGTGATGCAAGTTACCTGGACATGCTGAACTTGCATATTTGAGGAGAAAACAGGCTACAAAGGGTTTGTTCCAGGACATATCAGCTCAGCCTGAACACACGGGAAATCCAGGTGCTCTCAGGATGCAGCTGGGTCTGTTGGCTGGGCAGCTGCTGAGTGAGATTTGGCTTTCAGCACGGGCTGGGTCAGCCTTGAGCAATGATTGGACCTCTTCATGTCCTTCTCTGTCCAAGGCTCTTGCAGAGAGGCACTGCAAGAAGTTTATGTCCACATGTGCATAGTGTTCTCTAAAGGCTTGATGTACGATTATTAAGACTTGAGTTTCAGGATCCATTCGCTCACCAAGAATTATTGTGCCAGGGGCTGGAGGGTCCAATGATGACTCTGTCCACCAGGAAGACTCAACATTCCTGGAACTTGGACATGCAAATCTCAGAATCATGGGCAAAATTCTGGGCAACCTTTGGATCTGCAGTATGATGTGCATCTTCCAGGGAAGCTGAGAGGGGCCCTTAAGGACACAAACGTCAAACTAAAATAAGGTTCTTGGGAAGAATGCCCACCACAATTCCCAAGACTCACTGGGTAATTAAGGACCAGATTACTCCTGGATTGGACTAAGCTTTCCATCCCCTGTGAGCTGAACCTTCTCTCTACCACACTGCTTTCTGTAGACCTGGCTACTTGGTGAATATGAAATAAACCGGTTATAGCAGAAAGGAGCTACTGGATGTGCTCATGCATATAAAGAGAGAAAGTAAATAAAATAGAGCAGGATGTTAATAGGTGATTCTGAGTAAATGGCATATGGGGGCTCATTGAACTGTTATTGCAAGTTTTTTTGTAAATCTGGAATTATTTCCAAATGAAAAGCTTCTGAAAAGGAGCTACTGCATTCTTCAGGTAGAAAGATGACGCAGTGATAGGGTCACCATTGTGGGATAGGATTTGTTTTAATGGTTGTGTTTGTTTCTAAGCTATTCTATATGTCTGAGTATATCTTGGAACTTTTCCCTTGACAGACATCACAAGAAAAGTTAATTAAATTTAATAGAACTATTCAGATATGATTTACAGGTATTTAATATATTAGAAATGGAACTAGCCAGACAGACTTCCAAGATAAACTTTCTCTGCTTTCATGAATTATATGAAGTCTGCCTGTGATAACCTCATAGGAGGGAATGTTTTCCTGGCTGCTGATTCATTCCTTCTGGCAGACAAGGCTCTGGTAGAGCTGAACTGCTTGTGTTAATCCCCCTTTATTTGGATGTGTGCTCGAGTAGCCTTTGGAGCACTGTGGATGTAAACCAGGACTTCCGCGTTTCTGTGGAGACGTAACGTATTTACTTGAACCAAATCATCTCACAGTCGGAGCCAAGAAGGTTGAATTGTTTAAGACTAACCCTCACTACCAATGGGCTGCTTTTTGAAGAAATTTCTGCTCCAGCTTGGAGTCCTACAAACAGCAATTATTTCCCAAAATAATAAGTAGACTACTGGATTAGTTTGTTGAGCTGCCGTAACTAAGCCTCATGAACAGAAATGTGTTGTCTCAGAGTTTAGAGGTGCCAAAGCCCAAGACCGAGGGGCTGCGGGACACACTCCCTCTGAAGGCACCAGGGAAGGACCTGTCCCGGCCACCATCCCCGTTCATCCTGGCCCTTGGTGGGTGGCAGCCTAGCTCCAGTTTTACATCGTGTCCCTGGGCGCATTGCGTGTGCCGAATCTCCCTTTTTCATAAGGACAGAGTCACCCTGGCTGAGGGCCTGCCCTTAGGATGTCATCTTGATTGGGTCATCTGCAAACCCTGGTCACATTCACAGGTCCTGGGGTCAGCACTTCATTGTCTTTTGCAGGGAGCACCATCCAGTCTGTAAAAAGCCCATTCAAGCAACTGTAAATACCTGAAAGCAACGCTTATGTAGTTTTTAGTGAGTTCCAACTTTTTGAGAAATTTAATTCCACGTCTCTGACAAAAGGAAACAAAATACTCAAAAAACTCCACAAGCTTTCTGTTTATGCTCTGTGCAGAGCCTCATTTCTGCAGCCTTCCACAGAGGTGATGTTTGCCAGTTAGTACACGTTGATTAGTATACAAATTATAAAACAAATGGGTCCTCTGAGTTATTTGACTCTGAAAAAGATCAGGTAAAAGGCAAAAATAAATTCCTTTGGGGCATTCTAAATAGCAGTTTCAAGTAGGAACACAGTTGGGCCTCCCCTAAATCCACGTCGGTGCCCCTAAGAGCAGAGGGAAGGATCTAGGCAGCCTCTGAGGCTGGAGCTCCTCCTGGCCTCCTTCCCAAGGGATAAGATCATGGTGGGATCCCACAGAGGCACCCCTCATTCACAGCCCAGGACCACACCTGTAGAGAACCACTGAATTCATTTCCCTAGAGGCTTGGAAGGTAAACTTGACTGCAGCAGTGTACACAGCAGTCCACTCAGGGCTGTTGTCCCCTGCGGGTGGGTCCTAAGCAAGTCCTCATGCAACAGGAAGCTGAGAGCTTGACAATTAAACAGCTTAAAGTGGCACAAGGTGGGGGAAGAGCAGGTTTGGAGGTTTCCCTGCTAGGGTGCACACTCCCTCGTTGGCAGCCTGTGAGATCTTTATTGGGGGAAGCGGAAGGACCCAAATTACAGCCAACATCCAGGACTGCACCCCTCACTACTCCAGGGTGACGATTGATTTGATGAGATCCTCAGAATTCAAGTAAATGCAGAATGAAGTTGTGAAAATCCCCAGGTCTGGAGGCCCTGTTTCAGGGCTGCCCAGCTTCTCCCTGACATCTCTCACTATAACAGCTGCTCTGTAGAATGACACTAGCTAAATTGCTCTACAATACCAGCACTGAAAAAGTGGAAACCCTAGAAAAACTTCCTCTGCAGTTGGCCTGTGTTGAACCACTTTCCGGAGACGTGTGCTTGCAGGGCCTCCTTATCACAGTTCTACGTTCATTCGTTTGTTATTGCATGTTTTTACCAACTTCCTGGCCCTGGTGACAGGCGAGGAGCAGGGAAACTTGATCCAAGTTCAGGAGTGTGAGCTGACCTTTGAAAGATCTTGGCAACCCCAGAACCCGGCAGAGGATGAGCATGTACCTTCAGAAGCTGTGGATGAGAATAGGTATAATTCGCAGATAAGCTGGCTTTCTGGATGCTGAGTCAATGTGATGGGGAGGGACTGGGGCACCTGTGCAGAAGGTGCCAGTGCTGCCTGGGGCAGTGATCCAGGGCGGTGTGCTTGGGTGGAGGGATAGACACAGATCGCAGGGCAGAGCAGAGGCTCCAGAAACAGACCCATGCCAGCCGGAGTTTTGACAAAAGTGCAAAAGCAATCCCATCAAGGGAGAAGAGCCTTTTGAGCAGTGGTGCTGGTGCATTGGACATCTAGAACCAGAAAGAAAAACAGAACTCCAACCCACACAGTACACCATGTACAAAACTGGACACAGTGGATCATGGACTTAAATGAAAACATAAACTGTGACATTTTTGCAAAAAAGAATCATTTTGATCCATAAAAGGAAAAAAAATTGATAAGTTGGGCCCCATCAAAATTAAAAACTTTTGCTCTACAACTGACCCTGTAAATAGGATGAAAAAGACAACTTACAGACTGCAAACCACACATTCAACAAAAAACTGGCATGTTCAATATATAAAGAACTCTCAGAACTCACTACTTAGAAATACAAGTAATCCAGTTAGAAAATAGACCCAAAAGTGCATGGACATTACACTGAATAGATTGTACAGAAACACCTGAAAAGATTCACATCTTTCACACCACCAGCCACCAGGCAAATGTAGAGTAAAATCACAAAGGTGTGTTACTCTGTTCCTGTGAGAATAGCTAGAGTAAAAAACGGTGCCACCAAGTGCCCATGAGGATACAGAGACTAGATCACTCATCCGTTGCTGGTGAGAATGTAAAATGGTTCAGCCATTCTAGGAAAGAGGTTGGCATTTTCTTGCAAAATGAAACATGAAAATTTATGATCCAAAAATATGATACACTTGATCATTTATCCCAGAGAAATGGGGACATGTTCTCACAAAAACCCATGTAAGAAACGTTCCTAGCAGCTTTATTTGTAACACCCCTGAACTGAAAATTCCCTGATATTTTTCACTGATACAACAGTTAACCGAGCCATGGTACCTACATTCCTCTGTGAAATACTACACAGCAATAAGCAGGAGCGGACTCCTGGCACACACAGCAACCTGGGTGGGTCTCCAGAGAGGTATGCTGAGGGCAGAAAGCCAAGCTCAAAAGGTCACATGATCTGCAATGTGTTTATTTGACATTCTTGAGATGACAGCATTACAGATGGAGAGCAGGTTAAGGCAGGAAAAGGAGAGAGATGAGTGTGGCCCTCCAAGGTCAGCACAAGAGATCCTGGGGATGGAATGTTTCAATCCTGACTCTGTCAGTGATGTTGTCCTCTGGTTGTGCGAGTGTGAGATGTGACCATTGAGGAAAGCTGGGGCCAGGGTGTGGGATCTCTCTCTATAAGATTTTACAGCTGTATGTAAGCCTGTGTGAAAAACAATTAAAAAATAATTTAACATTGTTATAACATGCAAACTTAACATAAATGGAAGTGATATTAAATTAAAACTAATAAAAAATTTAATACTTTTTCTGGCAGACAATGGAGTGACCCCATCAGGTCTGTGCTTCACAACATGAGAGGCTTCCCGACACCACCTTCCTCCAGCCCAGCCCTTGGTTTATCCTTTTCCCCAAGTATCTTGTAAGTGTGAACATTCTGGAGCACGAAGGCATCTGAGGTCCTCCAGGGGGTGGTGTCCTGAGCTGCTCTGCTTTCTGTGGAATGATGACGTGCAGCCCGTCCTGGGCCCCACACACCTGTCTCCACTTGCTGTTGCTTCGAGATTCAGCTGGGGAAAGCCTGTACCAGGGCAGAATCTGTAGTCATCCTGGGAATCTCAGAAGTTCTGGATTATTTGGGATCACAGTACTACGTGTCCAAACATTTCAGAGAGAACAGCAGCAGGAAAACTGGGTGGAAGAAAGATCAGAGGCCCAGCCAGGCCTGGGGCCAGAGCTCTGTCTGAAGCAGAGGTCACCTAGCCGGCAGCGTGCTCCTTAAGGACAGCACACGTCAGCACACATTAGCCACGAGGGGCTTGCCAGCCTTTGAATGGCATCGTAGCCCAGCCCAAAACTGACAAGGGAACTGAGTCAGCCAGGGCCCCAGGACCCACACTGTGAGCACCACTTACTGATTTGATGTCTGTTCTGGGGTGAGGGGCCTGCACGTGGCTCTCTGACCTACTGGCAGGATGTCTGCTGCCCGCTGTTCTCAGTTTCTTCCATTTCTGGATCCACGTCTGCTGCCCAGGCCAAAAGACCAAGCAGAGATCTGTGTGGTGCAGGGTGGGGCCACTGGTGTACTTCTGGCATTGTTTACACCAGGTTAAATTACTTAACTGGGTTAAGGCTATGAAAGAACATCTTTTCAAAGATTGTTGAGATTCTCTCCACAGGTCCTAATTTAGTTATTAAAACAGCATCTTGTTAGTTCAGTCTCAATTTTTAAACAGATACGGTCGTCAGTGTTGGTTCTCTGGGCACAACTCCTCCCAAAATAAATAGCCCTGCCTTGCATTCCAAGTAGGTCTGGTTTAAGGTCAAAGTCACCTGTGAGGTTGGCAGGAGGCCCAGGCCAGGAAGGATCACAGGTAAAGTGAGGCCAGTGCCTGGGGGACTGAGCATTCCCTCCGTGCATGATGCGCTGAGAGGGCAAGTTCTCACATCGCCAGTGTGTCAGTGGGACAGCTGCACTGCGCGTGCCCCCATCACTGTTCCAGATCTCAACACTCTGGGAGCTGGTGAATCACAGATCAAAGGCTTAAGAACGTCACAGAACAGTGAAGTAGCAGCTTCACTACTTGTAAAAGAGATGGTTCCTTCATCCTCATCAAATTGTGGAACGTGATACTGTTCCTGGTGAGCCACCAGGTATGTGGCCTCATCTGCATTTCTCACTAGCATTTCTTTATTCTAATCTTGAGTAGTGTCTACTGATAAAATTCTTTTTTCTCTTCCTGATATTGAGCCATAAATACTGTAAACTGCACCAAACAGTTATTTGCCCTGGAATCAAAGGTCATCAAGTCAATTTATTCCCACAAGGCAGTCTTTGACATATTTAATGGAATTTTGTTTTCTTCCCTCCTACCTCACCAGCCTCAGACACTTTTCTCCCCAGACCAAGACACCTCAATCCCCCCAAAACCATATGACGTGACCCCTGCCATCCCCATGACAGTGCCCTCACCCAAGAGTCTCCATATGATGCTGTGCCCACCCCTCCTACCCCCACCCGACATTTCTTTGGGTTGTTTCATCTGCCTGGCATCTCTGGTGATTCTCCTCCAGCCCTGTTTGAATAAATAATAGTCCAGGATAGGAGTGATTAGAAAAATATGTCCTGTGGTGGTTTTCAGTAATTTGTGTCTTTTCTTATCATCAGTCTGTTTAGAGGTTGATTAAGTTTACTGATCTCGAAGACCAGCTTTGGTTTCATTGACATCTTTTTTGTTCACAACACTGATTTCTGTCTTGAACTTCATTATTTCCTTAGTTCTGCTACTTTACGTTTAATCTGTTCTTTTCATAGTTCTTCAGATAAAAGCTGCAGCCATTGATTTGAGACACTACTGTTGTAATACAGGCATTTGGTGCTACAAATTTTTCTCAAAGTACTGCTTTAGCGGCATTCCACAGATTGTTTATTTTGACTCAGTTCAAAATGCCTTCTAATTTTCCCTTTGGTTTCTTCTTTGACCCCATAAATTATTTAGAAGCATGTGTTTTAGCTTGTACATATTGGAGGATTTCCCTGATGCCCTAAGTAATGGATTTCTCATTTTATTCTGTTGTAGTCAGAGTATACTTGACATGGCTTGAATCCTTTTAAAGGTCCTGAGACTTGTTGTATGCCCTGAATATGGTCTAACGAGGTAACAGGTGTGCATTCTGTTGTGTGAGTGTCCTGTCACTGTCCTCAAGGTCAGGTCTCATAGTTTTTATGAAGTTTGGGAAGTCTGGGGATGTTACTTCTTCCAGTATTTTTCTTGCCCACACACTCTCTTGCATTGGCTTCAAAGACCCCAGGAAGTTGTCCTAAAGCTCACCAATGCTTCTCACTAAAAACAGTCTATTTTCTCTTTGTGCTTCATTTGGGAGATTTTAAATCTCTACATCCTCAAGTTCACGGACTTTTCTTTGGCAATGTCTTATGTTCCTTGAATTTCAATGAGCATTATTTTTTTTTTTATCTCACACATTGTAGTTTTCACACCCACATGTTCAATATGCTGTTTGGCTTCTGCAGCACATCTCATCTCCTGTGTATTGCTTCAGTCCCAGCTCCTTTGGTGTCTACACCTGCTAATTCTAACCTCTGTGTCAGTCAGCATCAGCTTCAACTGGTTGATTTTTCTCCTCATTACGGTCACATTTTTCTGCTTCTTTGCATACCGGCTCTCTTTTATCCAGGACTTGTGAATTTTACCAGGGCTGGATGTTTTCATATTCCTTTAAAAATTCATGAGCTTTGCTCTGGGATGCAGTTAGGTTACCTGGAAAGGATTTGAGCCACTTGACTCTTGCTCTCAGTGTGTGTTAGGCAAGACATGGGCAACTTTAATCTTGGTCTGATTGTTCCCACCACAGAGGCAAACCCTCTGAACGTCCCATGTGAGGCCTCCTGGATGATGGGGTTTTCCATTCCTACTCCGTTCTAACCCCTTGGTCTGCTTGCAGCCTGGCCTGGTGGAGTTTCCTCACATGTCTTCTTCCATCGGTAGTGAAATGACTCCTCTAGGGGGCCCTTGCAGATCTGTGGAGGGCCTCTCTGCCATGTCTCCCGTAAACTCCAGCTCCCTGGACCCCAGACCCCCACCTCCATCCTCTACCTGAGGGTCTGATGGGCCCCCCTGGACCCCATTCCCCACCCTCTTCCCTGTCCCACAGCCTGGAAACCCTCACACAGTGAGCTGAGGCCACGATGGAGCTCATCTTGCTTGGTTTTTACCCCCGAGTGATCACCAGCCTTTGTCTGCCTGTATCCTGAGAACCATTATTTAATATTTTTTTTTCTGTAAGTTTCTCTTGGTTGTTTCAGTGGGGAGGGCAAATCCAGGCTTGGTTACTCCATCTTCTCTGGAAGCAGTTTATCACAAAGCTATGAGCCAGCCATTCCACTCACGGGTAGTGACCCAGGACAAGTGAGAGCACACGCCCTTGGAAGGATTCGCACCCCGAAACGAAGCCCATCATGGCTTTGTTTGTGATAGCCCTGAACCGCAGACAGCACAAGCATCCATCCACAGGGAAACAGATAAAGAAAATGTCAGATGTGATGAAATGCCACTTGGCAATAAAAAGGAGCGAACCTGCAGTGTGGGCTACCTTAGAGGAGAGCCCCACCATGCTTAGGCTGATGAAAGGAGCCGACAGAAATGGGGCACCTGGAGGGGCGTCATTCATACAGATTCTAGGAACCACAAACTTCTGGCCATGATATGAACCAGATCCTCAGCATCCTGGGGCCACGGGGGATGAGGGGTTACCGAGAGGCTGGAGGAAGCAATAAGGGGTGATGGAGATGCCACCCTCCTGATGGAGGTGACAGTCTCACAGGTGTGTACACATCAGGTAGAAACTCTAACACGTGAAGTTTGCAGTTGAGTTCAATGAAGCTGCTTAAGGAACAGTGATCCTGAGTGGGTATGGTGGTGCCCCTCCTGCCCCCAGCCCAGAGACACAGGTCTGTGTAGGACAGAGGAAGGCCCCACAACCCACAGTGATGGCAGAGGACAGCGGCGACCTCCGTGCCCTGTCAGACATCACCAGGGCAAGTATTGCTTACCTGGCCAGGTATAACCTCTGGGGAAAATCCTGAATAGGAAATTTGCAAAATTAGATGAAAAGCATTTCATAAATGGGAGATTTCGTAGTCATTGCTGGACTGTCCTCCTGAGATTTCCCCAGCTGCTCTCCCACCAGCAAGGAGAGAGATTGCCACTCCTGCCAACCTGGCCTCTATGGGGAGTGTCTTCCTGTATGTCTTGGTCAGTTTGATGTGCTAACTAGTGGGTCATTGTTGAAACTCACAGTTCTATGATTATTAGTCAAGTCAAACATTTTTTTTAACATTTGCTGACTTTGTTTATGTTGTTGTTTATTGCCTGTTTATGTGTATGGCTCATTTTTCAAAGTAAATGGTTACCATTTTGCCTGGTTTTCAGAGATTTTTATTTAGTGACTGTAATAGTGTGCTAGTGCTGCTTTAAAAAGGACCAAAGACGGCACCTTTAAAGACAAAAGTTTATCCCTCCTGATCCTGGAAGCTGGACACCTGAGGCCTCTCCTGGGTGTGTAGTGTCCCTCCTCTGTCCTCACGTGCTCGTCCCTCTGTGCATGTCTGTGTCCTCATCTCTTCTTATAAGGACATAAGTGACATGGAATCAGGGCCCACTTTAGTGATCTCATTTCAATCACCTCTTGAAAGGCCAGACTGTCTCCAAACACAGCCACGGTCTAAGGTCCGGACTGGGGTGGGGGTTGGGGATGGGGTGGTACATCAACATATGAATCTTGAAGGAAAATAATTAAGTCCGTAACAATAGAATACTAAATATTCTATCCAGTCCATCTTCGAATTAAATTTATCCCTCTTGGTAACTAAGCAACTACATATATTTTTTATTGCCTGCCACATGATAGGCAGGCATGAGTCTAAGTTCTTTACAAACAACCCTGAGAAATAGGTTTCATTATTATCTCCATTTACACTGAGGCACAGAGAGGTACAGTGACTTGTTCTGAGTCACACAGCTCTGAAGGGATGAAGTTAGCATGTTAACCCAGGCACTTGGGTTCCAGAATTGGCATTTAACCACTATGCTTCCCTGCCTCTCAAGGGGGCACCTTAGGCTTTACAGAGGCCTCAAGCCTGAATGTTCACACTACTTTCTGCTTCATAGCTTCTGCCCTTGGGGATGCACCTCACAGAGCCATTTCCATCCCCTTAGTACCTAACACAGACCCATTTTCCCTCTGCTGCTGACATTGGGTTGATTTGGGATTTGTTCTGGTGTAAAATCTTTTTCATTTTTTCTTTTTAGCCATCAGGCATCAGGACTTAAGATGGCCTGGCGCTGTACCAAAGTGCTTCCAAGCACTAATTTACTTAGTCCACAGGGCAACCAATTCAGCAGATATCCTGCTTTTATATGTGAGAAAAGCCAAGGCTCCAGGAAGTGTTACTTGTTCAGTTCACCAAGTAAATGGGAAACTAAGGTTAAAACCAAGGTTTAACTGTCATCAGACCATTACTCAAAGTCACAATTCCCAAAGGTCAGACAGGGGTCGGGTTCCAACTCTTGTCATTTTCCCAAATGGTCAATTTCCCAATTACCCTGGAGCTATATATTGTTTTATTTGTTTGCTTATTTGTTTTATGGAATCTGTCTGAGTATCATAAGACTGAAATCTCGTTTTGT